GAGAGAGAGAGAGAGAGAGAGAGAGAGAGAGAGAGAGAGAGAGAGAGAGAGAGAGAAAGCTTGGAACAAAAGGCTTGTGAGGTTCTGAACTCCACCAGCATTGACTGCCCGGGGACAACCCCGGGGATTAACTGAGTGGACTGCTTCTGACTTAGCAAAGGGCCACTATTGTGGTGCAAAGATTGCATCACCCTGGCCCCCGGAGGGGCACCGAAGGCCTGGGGTGCTTTGCCATCTGTTATTGTGAGAGGATATGGCTATTTTTAGAATGAAAGTTGCCCCAAATCGAGGCATAATAACTGTACATTCTATTTGGGGGAAGCAGTGCCACTAGCCTGGGGAGTGCGGTGTTCAATGACACAGCTTCTTTCTATTTTTGGGATCCACAGGGCCTCACTCCACTGCATAACATTCTACATGCAACTGGACCTAAAGTGGTCTCAATACGTTCAACACATTTGATCGGTCCTAAGGTATCTGGTTTACATTTCAGTCCATGTACACGTAGAATGTCGAGTAGAGAAGCAAGGTCCACTGCTGGTTTTTTGGAAGCCAGTAAGGGAACTTTCCTATGATTGAAAAGCCAAATGGAAAAGAAGCTTAGGGGGAATTTTCAAAAGAAACATACTACCACTAAATTTGGGGCTGGACAATTGAGAACAAACTTCAATTTGCAGACCCATTTGTTAGGCCACAGCGCTCTGGGTCAAACAGAGAAAATGAAAGGTCCTTCAGGACATCCGTAGAAATTGGAACAATACCGAGAAGATTAACATGCCCCCCCCTCACCTGCACGCTTGTGGAGAGGTGCAGATAATCACAATCGATCTGTTTTTCTGCATCTCTGCATAAACCACATCCAGGTTCAGGTGCTCAATCGTCCTCTTTTCTAGTGGGACCTCTCACACGTGGAAGAATAAGGAACATCGTGAAAAACATTTTGGACAACAAAATGAAAGGGGGACCTGATGTCTATGACACCTGCTAGTGGGGCGCAATCCACTAGCAGGTGGGTTAGACTGTCAAGAGTGTGG